ATAGAAAAAACCCTAGGATATCAAACAAGGAAGATGAATTAATGGAGGAGAGAGAGAAAGTACTCAGTACCGATTTCAATGGAGGAAGGAGCAGGAGAAAAGAGAGAAGGGAGACCAGAGAAGAGGCGTTTAGCGGGGTCCACACCTCGAAATTCAACGGCCAGTACGAGGTGGTCGATCGTACGGCGTCGCCGGTGGTTTTCTCTCTCTTCGAAGCTTTCCGCCGCTGCCGCCTCTCTCGCCTTCTCCACCGTATAACTCCGGCTTTAGGAGAGAGAAAATGAGAAAATCGGGAAGAAGAGAGAGAAAGTTAGAGGAGAGAGAAAAGGTTGGGAGGTGGGTAAGGGGTTGAAAAAGTTGGACACGTGTTTTAATCTTAACCGTCTAAAACAACTTGATCCTACGGTTGAGATGGATTTTTATATATCTAGGGTTCTTATATATCTAGGGGTTCTTACCGGATCCCTCCCCTATATATATATATATATATTTGGTGACGGAAAGGTGCTATGAGCCTATGATCATTTAGTATGGTAATCGAGGTAATAATATTGAAGTATTGTAAGAAAAAAAATAAGATAAGATTATATATATATATATATATATATATATATATATATATATATTGGAAGGAAACCGTTAAACGGGCAATGTTATTAAAAAAGATCAATTTCCGCCAAAGATATAAAGCTTTGGGGGAAATCATTAAGCCATACATTAAGTTTACTAGTAACGAATCTAGCTACTAAATGCGCTAAATTATTACCCGAAAAGATTAAACATTAAAGGAGCAACCGTATAAGAAAAAATTAAATTAAACAATGTGGATCATGAATTCAATTCCCAAAAGGAAAGGTGCTATGATCATTTATTATTTTTTACTGTCATGAAGTATAATTTTGCTTGAAAGTTACTCTAACAATAATATATAACACAACAGTACAACATGAACGGTCACGTAATGATAAAATAAAACAAACTTAGTGAAATATACATGAGAACATATATTTGACACGCCCTTTTACGATGAGCATGACTAGAGGTGTCCACCGTGCGAGTCGTGCGAGCTGGGTTAGGGTTAGGTGGGTCACGGGTTGGAGTTTCATGACACACGGCACGACACACGTAGGATAGGGGTGGGCCGGGTCGGAGAAGTTGGACACACCAGGGTTAGGTTCGTGGGTTAGACGAGTCGTGGGTGGGTCGAGTTGGTTCGTGGATTAGACGGGTCGTGGGTGGGTCAAGCTGGGTTCGTGGGTTAGACGGGTTGTGGGTGGGTCGAGCTGGGTTCGTGGGTTGGACGGGTCAAGGTGGGTTAGTTGGTTAGGGTAGGTCGAAGGGTGGGTTAGGGTGGGTTAGGGTCGGGTGGGTTCGTGGGTTAGGTGGGTTAGGGTCGAGTGGGTTCGTGGGTTAGGGTCGGGTGGGTTGTGTGGTGTTTTAATTTTTACAAAATTAACAATTTGATGACTTGCTCAGTTGCTCTAAATTAAGATGCCTACGCATCCTTATATTATAAAATAAGGAATCAAAGCCAACGTAGTTCTTATATTGTACTTCTTTTGGAATTTGGGGGGAGGGGGGGCTTGAACCTATCTTTAGAAAACTAAAATTTAATTTTGCAATTAAATTGTAATTTTCGAAAAATAAGTTGCCTACGTATCCCGAAAGAATCAAAGCCCACGTAGCTCTTAGCGTACCTGATTTAGACTTTTCTAGCCACCCATGTTTGTTGCATCATCATCCCCGGAAGCTGCATCATCCGTTGACGACTCCAATATCATCACAGGATCATCTTCATCGTTTTCGTCTTCCTTTAAACCTTGAGTTCTTTTTTCAGCTTGATCCCAATCTTTCTTACAAACACAAATTTTGAATGCTTTCCGGAGTTAAGCGAGATCTTTTTTCATCTAACACTCTTCTACTTGCACTAAAAGCAGACTCGGAAACAACGGATGAAGCGGGAACTGCAAGTATATCTTTTGCAATTCTCGCCAATATAGGGAAACTTTTTTTATGTTCTTGCCACCATTTTATAATTTGAAAGTTGTTGTTGGTCTCATGTTGATATGACAAATAATCATTAATAGCAAGTGTTGAAGAAGATGATGATGAGAATGATGTAGATGCTTTGTGTTTCTTTTTCATAACTTTATCAAGAAAACTAAATCTAGAATCGGAAGTGCTAGTAGTAGTTGGTGTTGCCAAATCAAAACCATAAATAGATGCATAATGATCATAAAGGTCTCCCAAAATAAATTTGCATTTGTTAATATATTCACTAACATCATAATCGATACTTAAACTTGTATAATAAAATTCTAAGAGATTTTCCAAACCTTCAGCTTTGACACCGGGGTCAAGAATAGCCGCAATTCCATAAATGACTGGAAATTCACTAAAATAAGTATGCCACCTACGTTTCATGCTATCAAGAACGGGACGAAGTCCATCAATCATCATATGCTCTTCGATGGTGTGAACAACTTTAACACACTCAATTATGACTAAATGAATGATAGACTCATAAATATAAGAGAAAATATGAGTTGCATTATCAAAAGCATTTAAAACATCACAAACAAAAGAAGCATTAGTCCAATGACTTTCGGTTATTAACTCAGTAGGATCAACACGAGTCTCATTGTAAAGTTGGGTCAAAATGTCACGATACTTTATAACATCACTCAACAACTTGAAAATAGAATTCCAACGGGTAGGGGTATCAATATACCATTGTCTTTTCTTAAGACCTTTCTCTTTACACATAGCTATGTACTTTCTTCTAACTGACTGAGTAATCCTAATCCATTTTATAACTGTTCTAATTGGGTTTAGAAATGGTTGCAACTCAGCGAGACCCTCTTGAACAGACAAATTCAAAATATGAGCACAACATCTAACATGCAAGAGACTACCACCCAACAACAAATGCAACTCAGAGTCATTTTTCAAATAGTCATTACACTTTGTGCTTGCAGTTGCATTATCAAGAGACAAAGAAAAAACTTTATTATTCAAGTGAAATTCTGTTAAACAATCCAAAATACGAACTTTGATGTTAAAACCGGTATGCCTTTCTTCCATAGCTTGAAAACATAGTATACGTTTTTGAATAAACCAATCATCATCCACCCAATGAGCAGTAATGCAGAGAAAAGGTTCGCCAAAACTAGAAGTCCATGTATCACTTGTAAAACTAACACGACCATCAAAAGTACGAAATAATTCAATCAAACCACTCCTATACTTATAATAAGAAGTTTGTGTATAACGTCTTAGGGTATTTCGGGGGACACGAGTAAATGCAGGTTGTAATGCAACTTTATTAAAATGCTCAACGTTTGCATTTTCATCGTAACTAAAAGGGTATTCATTAGCAATAACTAAAGTACTCATTTCATCAATCATTCTATCTTTATTATAAATGAAAGGTGTACCTCCGCCGGGTTGGTTCATGTATCCACCCAATTGTGTTTGGACGCCACCCACCGAAGGACGGGGGCCATTTTCGAACAAGTCGTGTTTATTTTGCAAATGCCGACTCAAGGTTTCGGTTCCATCTCCCGTTTTCCAATTATATGACTTGACATTTGCACCTAGCGCCTTGCAAACTAGGCATGTACACGTGAACCTCTTTGGTTGACCGGGTTGCCATCCCGGGGGTGTGACCTCAACTCGTTCAAAATGTTTCCACACCCAAGAAAAGTGTGCTCGACTTCTACTTTCACCGCCACCACCTTTCATAAATCAAATTATTGAAATTAATTTTAAACGCTATTCATGAAAATAAGCTTTTAAATTTTAAATATTTTAATTATAATTATTTAAACGCATCTTTCATGGTAATTAACTAATTGTAAATCATAGAAAATTGGAAACTAAACTAACTTTATAATCATTAATAATAGTTTTTATAAATATTCATAACAATAAAAATTTAATTAGAAATTACCTTGAGATGAAGGTTGAGATGTTGGTTGTGATGTTGGTTGCGATGGAGGTGGCATAGTTGAACTCGATGATTGGTAGGAGAAATGTTGTAGTGGAGACGTTTGAATATTTTGCCTATCTCCTAAACCATAATCTCCATATTCATTGACAAATTGGTTTAAATTTTCTGTATTAATTTCATACGAAAAATTTGCACTATCACTTCTTTGGCCACCACTTCGACCACCACTTTGACTCCTTCCCATTCCTCCTCTTGAGCCCATTTTTATTTTTTATTTTTATGATTACTAATTATAATATGGAGAAGAACTTTTTTTTTAGAATCTTAAGAATACTAATAATACTATTTAGGAGATTTTTTTTAACAAAAATAAAACTCTATATAACACTTGAGAATTTGAAAACAATTAAGAATTTTTGAGTAAGAGAGAAAGAAAGCTTGAGTTGTGTGGAAATTTGAGTGAAATGGGATTGGTATTTATAGGGAAAATTGAAGGGAAGATCATACACTAAAAAAACTAGCCGTTACATACAAAAAACTAGCCGTTTTTTTTAAAAATGGATGTTAGGCCGTGCGGGTTGGGCGGTCGTGCGAGTTGGGCAGGTTGGGTCGTGCAGGCCATGCGGGTTGGGTGGGTCATGCGTGCGGGTGGGCCATGCGGGCTGGGTTGTGCGAGGTGGGTTGGGTTAGGTAGGTTCATGGGCTAGGTGTGTCGAATTAAATGGGTCAAGACGGGTTGTGCGAGTTGGGTCGAATCAAACGGGTAAAACCGAGCTGGGTTGAAATGAGTTGTGTCGAAAATTTTGGACCCACGACACAACCCGGGTTAAATCCGAGCTGTGCCGGGCTGTGTCGGGTTGAAACCGAGTCGGACCCACGTGACCCACCAGCTGTGCGGGTTAGGATGGGCTGGGTCCAACCCGGCCCACTGGCCACCTCTAAGCATGACCCTTGCTTAGAGTCATCCAAATCAAAGTTGATTAGACCATAAGCCGAGTAGACAACCCATGACAGTTAGGCTTGACACTAGGCCGCATACTACCTCACCGGATGACTCTCACCAGTCACAGCAAAATGAGTGACTACAAACATGGTCCATAAGTCGGTGTCATCATTTTTCCCATGTAACACCAGTACCTTTGAAATTGCCGGGAATTCAACGGCTTCCTTAAACCCTAAACCCCAAATGCCCTCTTCCTTCTCTCTCTTCCTCTTTCTCTCTTCTCCGCCCCCATTTCTCCCTTCAACCTCTCACCATCTCCTCCTTCTTTCCGCCATTGATAACCTTCAAGCTCATCAATTTCCATGCTTTATCGTCTCCATCAATGTAGTCTCCGCCGCCTTCTTCCTCGCTGTCTCGCTAATTCCTTCACTTCCACTTCCGCCGCCATTATTTCCGACGAACTTCCCCCCAAAACCCTAATCCAAACCCCCAATAACACAGTCTCTGAAATCCTCTACAATTTACGACGTTTCGGCCTCCATCAATTTGTGTCTGGCGGTTATTTTCATGGCCTTTTTGGTTCCAAGTTGGATTCTGATACTGTTGATCAGATTATTGGTAGATTGAAGGTCGAAAGCCCGGGATCGGCTATCGGGTTTTATTCCCTTTTGAAGATTGATTATGGGTTTCGCCATTCGACCAAATGTGTGTTTATTGTGGCTCATATTCTTGCCGATATGCGCCAAATTTGGCATTTGCAGGATCTTATTAAGAAGATTATAGAAGATGAAGGTCAGTTGTTTTAATTTAATGAGTGATTATTTTGGAGCTTTATTTTGTTTGATCAATTAATTTATGTTGGAGATGTAAATTGATCTACGATTGATGATTTTACAGCTTTTAGCAATTCAATAGCTAATGTTCTTATTGCGATTGAATTTCATGTTGGAACATTGACATTTTTCCTGTTTTCGTGTCGGTTTCACGAGAATTTAAGCAATTGCTTTGCAATTCTATACTTGTCTGTATATAGCTCACATTAATCAGCTTTAAATGAATCCGAATCATATTTTGCTCCTATCTGTGCCTCTAAAAGTAGAATCAATCTTCTGTAAGCCTTGAGTTACTGCCAGAAAAAGGCAAATTACAGAGCGTGAGTTATGACTTTTATTTTTATGCTTTAGATTATATAACCATTTTGCCATTGGTTCTCACCAAACTGAATTTAAAGCCTGTCATGATCACTTTCAACACCGGTGTGGAGTTGTAACTTGCATGAGCAACTTGCATGAGCTATACAGTTCATTCTGTCTCTGTCGGGAGATTTTTGAATGACCATCTATTTAATTAAACTATCCGAACTCTTGGTGAAAATCTACTAGCGAAGAACGGTTGTTCTCACCTATCTTAATAACAAAAAAACTTGACTTGAATGATCCTGTATTAAGGGCTAAATAAGCGAAAGGCATGTCTCAGGTTGCTCTAAATATAGGAGTTATGACATAAGTAGATTATAAGATACACCCCCATGGAAATGACGCTCAAAATATGTCATAGTAATCATAGAACTGACCTCTTTGACACCCTCCTTGTAGCCATGTAAAAGATAGACTTCCTATATATACTTCATCTAAATATCTTGCATTGAATATCTTATTTAACATTTGGAAAGGTATTTATGGACTCCTCCCTCAAACAGTCATTCTTCAGAATTTGATTGTACTTGAACCTAATCTATCCACTAACAATGATCTATTCTTCCTTTCAAGCCAACTATCACTACGTTTTGCTTGTAGCATCTATTTACCCTACTGGAAAAAGCAAACACATTATTCTTCCTACTGAGGAGGGTTACCGCTGGGTTGCATTTTTGAATTACTAATAGTATAATCATCAATTCCCTATAACATCCTGACGAAGCAGTCTTTCTACTGAATTCCGTTGGTTGAATTCTTAGAGATAAGATTGCTTGCATTAAATTTTCCCGACCTTCCAATCTTCCAATAGTAACATTGCTATTAGGTTGTTATTTAGTGATGTAGTGATCCATCAGCTTATAGTGTTTATTGTTGTTATTTTCTGCTTAGAGAAGTGGCTTATGAATCTTACATTACTGTTTATGGGTTATTTCTGGTGTGATTAGGGTCAGGTTCTGCGCCTTTTACCTGTGATCTTCTTGATAACAGCTTCAGGGACTGGAATTCGACTAGTCTTGTCTGGGACATGGTGGCCTTTTGTTATTCAAAATGTGATATGGCCCATGACGCCCTTTTTGTTTTAGCAAAGATGAAGATTTTGAATATGCAACCATCAATATACACCTATAATAGCTTGTTGCAAAACATGAAACACACTGATATAATATGGAATGTATATGATGAAATAAAATCCAGAGATATACAGAGCAGATTTACAAATCCCATTTTTATAGATGGCCTTTGCAGGCAATCACTGCTTCACGAAGCAGTAAAATTTTGGCTAGAGACTGAACGAAAGGAGAGTGGGCCGTGCATTGTGTCATTCAACACCCTTATGTCTGGTTTTTGCAGAATGGGACTTGTTCATATTGCAAAGTCTTTCTTTTGCATGATGCTAAAGTATGGGATTCTCCCTGATATATACAGCTATAATATCCTTATTGACGGATTATGTATGGAAGGATCTATAGAAGAAGCTTTGATGTTTATAGATAACATGGAGAAGAATGGTGTTGATCCTGATATTGTGACTTATAATACTATTCTCAAAGGGTTTCATCAACTTGGCTTGGTTAGTGAGGCTGAGCAGATCATTCGGAATATGATGGTCAAGGGTTTGAAGCCTGATAATTTTACATATAAAGTATTGGTATGTGGATATTGCCAGGGTGGCAACTTGGATGAAGCACATAGACTGCTACATAAGATGGTTTGTCAGGGAATTCCACCAAGCATTATCCCCTATAGTATTGTGCTTGATGGTCTATGTAAGACGGTGCAATTTGACAAGGCAATTAAATTGCTTGAGGAGATGGAAGGCCTAGGGCTAAAACCGGATCTAGTTGTTTACTCTATACTTATACAAGGCCTTTGCAAGATAGGGGAAGTTGATAGAGCTATACAACTTTGCGGTGAGATGCAGTCAAGAAGAATTTTTCCAAATTTTGTCTCTCATGGAACAATTCTCTCGAACCTATGTGAGAAGGGGTTGATGCCAGAGGCAATAGTGTACTTTGAGACCCTGACAAGATGTGATTCATCTTTCAATGTTGTTTTGTATAATATAATGATTGATGGATTTGTGAAATTTGGTAATATTGGAGATGCTGTACAGTTATACACACAACTGTTGGAAAAGGGTATTGAGCCAACAATAATCACATTTAATTCTTTGATTCATGGTTTTTGTAGAAGTGGAAGACTAGTGGAGGCTAGAAGATGGTTTGAGACAATTAAGGTGCATGGACTTGTACCAAATTCAATAACCTACACCACACTTATGGATGGTTACTGTAAAGATGAAAATATAACCTCCATGCTCGAGCTGCTCCGGGAGATGATGGCAGAAAATGTAAACCCAACTCATGTCACATACACTGTTCTAATTAAAGGTCTCTGCAACCAAAGGATGTGGCAGGAATCTTTTCAAGTACTAGCAAATATGTACAGCAAGGGTCTAAAACCAGACCAAGTAACTTATAATACCATTATCCAATGTCTTTGCAAAGCTAAGGACTTGAGTACAGCATTATGGCTCCATGATGAGATGATAAGGGAGAATCTTCAGCCTAGTTCTGTCACTTATAATATTCTCTTGAATGGCCTCTGCTTATATGGTGGTTTAAAGGCTGCAGACAATTTAATGAGTTTTCTTCAACATCAGCAGATTAGTTTGTCAAAGGTTGCTTACATGACGTTGATAAAAGCACATTGTGTCAAGGGAGATACATCTGCTGCTATCGTAATTTTTCATTGCATGCTGCAAAATGGTTATCAAGTCTCCATCAAAGATTATAGTGCTATTATAAATAGGTTGTGCAAAAGGGGATTCTTAACTGAAGCAAAGCTTTTTCTTTGCATAATGTTATATGAGGGACTTTCACCTGATAAGATTCTCTATGAAGTATTGGATGAGACCTTTTTATAATATGATCTATGAGAAGCAAAGTTTTGTTTGCTCCTTTCTCTCAGAACGTTGAGAACTTGAGATGGTGTTGCAATGAGTTTTCATGTCAGGTATGCAGAACTTGCATTCATGTTTTTCTTTCTACTTTTGGTACATATAGCTTACAGTCTTACACTTTTCTTAATGCAACCACTGGCATGATCTGTCCAATATTTTCCCTCTCAAGTATAGATGGCTAGGTGATATCTTTTACAAGTTGGCTTTTGCATTTGATGTGAAAACTTATTTGCTTTGTAAAGTGTAAACCTTTCATTTATTCATTGGTTTGAACGCTGATTTGCAAACTGCATACATGCTCTGTTCTATAATTTAGAGAAAAAAAAAAAAAAAATACTGTTTGCCTCAGTGGCAATGGAAAGCGAATAATTTATGTGCTCCATAAACTAAGAGCATTAATGAACTAGCATTTTTAAAGTTTTTTTCATGCTTTTTTTGTAAGGTGTTATTTAACCTTTTTAATTGTTCCTTTTTTCTAAGGATAATTCTTGGCAACATATCTCATCACTGTTTTTTTTTTTTTTATTTTTATTTTTAAAGCTTATACCAACTCTTGTATTTTGAAAATTCATTGTTATGTTATGCACTTCAATACTTTTTCAGGGATATGGAGAAGCTGTACCATGACATTGACATTGACATTGTCACGAGACGTTCCTTGGAAAATTACAAATCCACTGTCATTATAATAATTTTCTGTCGCTCGATTCGCTCAATTATGCTGCTATAGAAAACTTAAGTCGTAAAAGATATCAAGGTTTCTCTAAATATTTTGGAAAGTTTAACAAGAATAATCCAACCTTTGCCCCCCGTTCTCCCAAAATAATCCAACCTTTCGATTAGCTCTGAATGATCCTAAGTTTACTACTTTTTCTCCCAGCAACCCAAGTAGGTCACCTTACCCTTTACAACCGGTTACCATCCACGTGCCACTTCCTAATTGGTCAATTTTTAATTTTTAATTCAAAAAAATTATTATTTTAAATTGTTTTTTTTTAATTTTTTTTTTATAAAAAAACTTCTCTTTCCTTCCTTACTTGTTTCTCTATCCTTTCCCGTCCTCCATTTTCACCTACCAAAACCACTCAACACACCATCCACGGGACCACCACCAACACCACCCCACCTACAACCACCTCAACACCACCAACATCACCACTAAACACAACATCCACGACCAACGCACAGCACAACCGCAAACAACACCCACAACATCAACAACCACCCACAACACAATCGAAAACAACACCCACAAATCAACGACGTATGACCATCCCCAATTTAACCCCAAATTCAATTGAGAGAGAGAAGAGAAGGAAAATGTTGGGGGTTGGGGTTTCGAATTCTGGTTAAGTAGGGCTGGGGTTTTGTGGTATGGGTTTCAGGGTATGGGTGGGGATGGATTGGTGGTTTCGTGGTATGGGTGGGGATGGGATTGGTGGTTTCGGCTAGGTGGGGTTGGTGATTTCGAGTCTGGGTAGGAGTGGGGGAAGGGTTTCGGGTTTGGGTGGGGTGGGGTGGGGTAGGGTAAGTGGCGGCGGAGGTGGCGGCGGCTAAGTTGCGAGCTGATTGCGAGGGGGTGGCACGTGGCGGGCTGGTTGACAGGGAGAGGAGGGGGTAGTGGGGCGGGTTGGTTGACAAGGAGAGGAGGGGGTAGGTTGACGGTGAGGTGAGGTGGTGGCGGGAAGGTTCAGAGAGGTGAGGGAGCCATTGTTAATGGCTAGAAGCTTGAAATGGAGTTGAAGAGGGGAGAAGGAAGGAGGGGAAAAATTAAGGAGAAAAAAAAGTTACCTAAAGTTAGGGTAACCGGTCAAATAGGCTTGGTATAAGAAAATAAGTAGTAAACTTAGGATTATTCAGGGTTAGGTTGGATTATTTTGGGAGAACGGGGCAAATTTCCTAATATTTTTTTCTCCCAGTTAAGGGTATATGGAGGAGATTTTACCTTTTCTTAACATTGATTTTCTTACCTGTCTTGACATGTTTATTTATTCATTCTGTTTTATTAAGCTGAATCTTTAGTGAGATTACTGGATAGACATTTATATTTTGGGTTGCATGGAGAATCCGTGGGTGGACATAGAGTGTGTAAACACCTTGGGCTAGTTTGGAATCTATAATTTCTAGCAATTAAGTACTACACACATTTTATTACTAAGTTTCACTACCGTTAGCAATAAGCAGTTTTGATAAAACAAAGAAGTGTTTGGTTCAATTGCAGATGTAGCAGTTAGCTCCTTAAGGGGCCAAAATGCTGATGTAAAAAGATGCTCACTAGAGCATTACTCTATAAGTTTGCACCATGGGTCTGATCTAAAATATTATCACTCCCTAGAGAATCTAAAATGCAACTTTCCATTAGCTATATATGATTTGACCCTGTCAAATGCTGAAGGCGACCCTGAAATCCTGAATGATAAGTGCCCTGAGAATTCTGGCTTTGTATCATTTAATTGGGATAAAGTTAGATTTTAATTCTTGATTATTATTGAGGCACTTTGAAGAGCATGATTGGCAGATTTCATGAAGGCATGAGGATTATCTATTTATCTTGGGCATCTTTCTGAAATTAGAAATTTGGATATATGTCAATCGGAACCTAATATAACCAATGTTAATATTAACCTAATATGAAATTTCAATTGTTACACAGTCTTGTCCTAGCCTTTGTGTATCATGCATTTGATGGATGAAGCCTGATATTCCTGGACAATGAACGCATATCATATTCCTGGTCATTCAGGATATAGCATTTTAGTTTGGTGTAATGTCTACAAAGTAGGGACGGATGTTATTATACAGGCTAGGATTTGTTGCCAATGTGATTGTTTGGGATCAAGTAAACATTCTGTAATTCTTAAGGATAGCCGTAAGGGGCAGTGTATCTAACGGTCTAACCCCACCAACATCATCTTAAGTGCTTTGAGTTAGCTGATATTTTGAAGAAATGTCCTTGATTCATATATAGATTATGTATGCTATTTTTCAGCATTTATATCATCCAGCCTAATCTTGAGAGCTTGTGAAGGTGTGAACTTTAGGAGGCAATCTAATTATTTGCCTGGTCATCATGCAGGAGAACTTATGCTTGCAAGACTGATGTGTTCAAGATATGAATACATATGGCTGCCATGAGAAGAGCAAATCATTAAAGTAGTTGTTGAAACCATTCTTCTGGTTTTACTTGGGACAATGTCCTGCAGAGACTACTATTAATAGCTGGACCTGTGCAATAGTAATGTAGAAATTGTGGAATGTGTTTTATGGTTATCAAGCTGATACTGTTTATAGTTACAAACTTACAACAACTACGGATGTTCAGTATGAGGCCATTGTGCTGGAATTCTTGGGTGTTCAAGATGTACCTTGGCTATCTTCTAAAAATAGGTAATCAAGTAATTCTAATCATATTAAGTTATTGAATTGTCATGTACTTTGTCACCGTCAGTCACTCACCATTTGACTTTGTTAATCATGTTGCAAAGCCATCACTGTAGGATCCAAATAGTTGGTACTTGATGGAATCTGATATCTAACCAGTGGTCAGTTGCATGAGCAACTAAATAAGATTCTATGGTGACTTCTAAATGTAGAATGATTGCACCAGTCCTATCATTCGCTGTGGCATTTGTCATGGTTCATGCATAAGATTTCATTTAGGGGTTCTGGTATGTTATACTGTCTCCATTTCCCAATATTGCAACAATTACCATTTTAGGTGTTTCACAAATATTGCAATATTCCCTTTTTTGCACATGCTTTCTTTCTCTCCCTGTCTTCTCATCACATGGGTTTAAGTCTTTATTTCTCTCAATCTCTCACCCCATCTTAAAATCCGTGCCTACCTCCCTTGTTGCAATTTTAGGGGAACTGAAGGAAAAATATAAATAGAGATTACTAATTTGGGTTTAATGTTTGGCTGGAAATGAATGGTGTTCTACACTTATACACAAACCAAAAGTGAAGTGCTCTAGATTATTATTATTTTTTTTTTCTTTCACATTGGTTTACACTTGATTTTATCTGCTTTCTTCTCACACCCACCTAACCAAGAGAAATTGCCTGGCTTGGTGGGCTTTGTATCTTATTACATTCTTTGTTTCTCTCCAGAATGAATGATGGAGTGTCCCACTGGTGGTCAAATATTCTTAATCAAATTTGATCTTACCCTATGTCAAATATGTAAATTCATGCTCTGAATAATTTAATGGGTTTCCTCAGGAATATGTAATATGTATATCTTTGGAGTTAGATGTTTCATTTGCGGAACAAGTAGAAGGCCACCTGTAATTCTGAGCCTCATGTTACTTCTGCAATCGAGCTCATTGAACTGCGCTCTGATCCAAATTTTCAGAAAGAGTTGATCTGCAGGTTAGTGTGCTCTTTTAAGACGTACGTTGTTGTCCATGTCTTGGCTCTTGATAAATGAGTTGGCTCTACCATGTACAACTGACATTTCTCAACAGTCCATTTCCCTTATGCAGTCACACGGAGAAAGTAAATGGTTTTAGAATCTTCCACCTTCATTTTCTCTTGTTTGACTTTTATTACCCCCTTAATGCATCACCTTTATTCAAAGCATGCCCATAGTGGCCTAGACAAACCTTGGAAAAATGTCATCGCCATCCTGATATTCAAAATGGCTTCACAATAAATATGCTTAATATATACCTTACTGCTTTGAGGAGCCTGTATATGAATTTCAATAGTAGTGTAGCTACGCTCTATGGAGCTTGAATATGTATGTTTCAATTGCACCACATAGCTTGTTTACTTCAATTTGTTAGTTGGTGTGTCTGGACAGAGTAGTTTCATTCGATTGCTTTAGGGAATGACTAATCAAATTAAAACTAATATAATCGTAGTAAGTTCTCTATTTTCGTATGTATTCTCGACCCCCAAGGAAAGTTTATTATGGGAGGAGAAAGGTAAGATGGACTTGTTTGGTGAATGACTTTTAGAAATCATTCCGATAGGGTATTTCCCTTTATCTTGTAAAAAATATCAATTGGTTAGTGTCTCTTCAATTCGTTCATAAGCTGGTTTTTCATCCAATAATGAATAGTATAGTTGATCTGTGAGCCTGTGAGGACCTGGTGCCTGGTGGGTGTCAGGTAGCTTGGCTTTGAGTTGGATATTGGAAATTGTATTACAGGTGCCTCTTTTTTATGAAATCAAATACGAATGAATGAAAATCCAAGTCAATGAAGAAACTTGTTTTTGATGCATGATTGTGTAAATTTCAGGTAGTAACTTCTCTGTGGAACAAGCTGTGCCACAAGAACTGAAGTCAAGAGATAGGTAAATATACTGTTATACGATCTTTATTTCTAATTGTGTCAAGTTCTGATTTGTGTCGAGGCTTCTAATAGCGTCAGATTAAGTTTCCGTAGATAAAAATATTCAATTAAAGTCGAGCTTATTGGCTGTCATTATGTGCACAGGAATATAGGATGTACACGTTTTATATAATTTCAAGATTTGAGGAAAATAGGATGTACATACTGGTCTAAACAAAAATGAAACTCTCATCTGAAGAGTAAATTGTGAGACAAATACTTGAAGTTACTCTTCGTTAAAACAGTGTCCACCTTAGCTGCTTTTATACAAGGTCAATAGGGTTGTCAATCGTCAGCTATCTGCATGTCGTTAATAAAACAATAATTTTTAGCATGCCTGAAAGCCTCAGCATCACACACGTGAATGATTTACATGTGTACAAAGATAATCCTTTGTGCTTACATCTACTCTGCAACAGCCGCAAAGGCTTTTTTTTTTCTTCTTAAAAATCTCTTGATCCTTCTTATAATAAATTGTAAAGGCTTATGACTGCTTATACTTAAGTTTTAAGAGGCTTATAACTGGTGACAGTTTTATTGTTCTTACCATAGCAGCCTCTTTTTTTAAGGTTTTGGTACTCCAAGCTGGTTCAATTCTCTCACCAGCTCATCAAGGCCAACTGCTGAACTTCCGCCTATTTTCACCGCCTCTAATGCCTTCTCTTTCATTGCCTTAGCCCTTACCTTCTGTGGTATCTGTTGACCAATTGACTCATATATGATTTGAGCTATTGAATCCGAGTTAGGCACCGTGTGTTTGCCTTCACATAGCTGAATTGCCAACCCTGCATAGTCTACTAACTGCTTGGCATTTTGGAACTGGTCTGCTTCCATTGGCCAAGCTAAGATCATCACTCCTGCCATTACACTCTCTAGTACTGAGTTCCACCCACAGTGACTCATGAACCCACCTACTGCTTTATGGTTCAGTATCTCAACTTGTGGTGCCCAACCTCTTAGCACCATACCCCGACCAGACACCCTCTCCTCAAACCCATCTGGGACCTGTTGACTTGAGACAGACTTGACCACCCATATGAACCGGGTCTTGCTTTGCTCTAAACCTAAAGCCAGTGCTCTGATTTGAGGTTCTGTCAGCAGCTTTTGACTTCCAAAACAGACATACAGCACACTATCACCAGGGCATGTATCAAGCCAGTTGAGCACATCATATGTGGTAGCTAAACCCGGATTAACCCTCTTGGATAAGCCTATTAAGCTTAACGGGCCAACGCTGTATACATGGCCATGACCCAGTTCCTTCTTTATGTGATCCAAATACTCCCCTTCTAAGGCGTAGAAAGAATTGAAAACATTTCCCCAGCTCTTGGAATTTTCATGCAGGCCTTCCTTAACAATCTCCCAATCAGGATCATCCTCCCTGAACTTCCTAAATATAGATGGTAATTGGTCTAGAGTAAAAGATGGCGACGATGGTAGATCTGAAAATTCAAAATTGTTTGAAATATTTTGTTTGCCCAAGTCCTGCCATGGATGGGTTAGTATACAGGTTAAAAATGCAGAAGATGTAAAGAATGCAATTCTAGGTATGTTTAGTTGTGTTGCCCAATGTTGGGTGCACCCGAGGAAGAAATCAGAGATAATAGCCTGAGGGGGCGAAGGGTGGGACCAGAACCATTGAATGACCTTTCCTTTTAGCTTGCAAAGTGCAGCTGTGACAGGCGCATTACCAGAATTTCCAATGTCTTTTATATTTTCTACCCCTAGAGGAAGTTTAGGATGAGGAGGAAAGGGTAAGACTAAGGGGTCAATGGAAGTTGGGTGGGTTGAGAGTAGTGGGGTTAAGGCAGGGAGGTTTTTTGGGGTGATCAAGACTGTAATTTTGATTCCTCTGAGAGCTAATTGGTGGGTCAGGTCTAGCAGGGCAGGCATGTGGCCTTGGGCTGGGTATGGAAAGACTAAAATATGGGTGGCAGAAGCAGCGGTAACAGTGTCGGCCATGTTTTTTTTTTTTGTTGTATATTACTATATGAGTAGAGGTTGATGAAGGAAATTCAACTACAGGTTTTTTAGAAACATTTTGGATTCTACGCTCTTGGGATGATATGATTCATCTACGAAAAGCCTTGCGCTGGCAAACTGATCAGTCTCCAATGCCCGAGCTAAAGCTATAAAGCTATAAAGCCAGCCGTAATGCTCTTTTGCAATGAGTTCCATCTTTGTGACTAACAAACCCACCTACAGCTTTGTGATTCAGTATTTCCACTTGTGTAGCCAACCCTCTAATTATCAAACCTTGGTCCGAGATGCACTCCTCAAATCCATTTAGAATGTTGTGGCTGGCTGCTGAGTTTGGTAGAGCCTCAATTTGGCGTTACTTTAGCATTTTCTGACTCCCAAAAATATTTACAAAACACTCCAATCTTGCCATTTGTCAAGCCAATTGAAAACAACACAACAATCTTTCTTTAGCCCTTAGTGCTGCATATATTATACCTCTTTAAATGTCTCTTTCAATTGGATATATGTATATAATAGAGATGGTAAGGTAAACCTACTGTAGCTGAATGGAAAATGCTTATTTGGTAGATCCAAGTCTCTGGTCTTTTTAAATTGAAGCTATACATCATAAAAAGACAACGCGGTTTATCTTTCTCAATTATTTTAAAATTTCCTACGGAGTTGTTAAGAGAAGGTTTATTCTATTGTTTTTATTTTTGGCCATGCATTAAATTAACTCGAAGCCTATTAATCAATTGAAGTTTGATATATGCTACCTCCGTTTTCTATTTTGTGCAGCAATTTGTAAAAACGGAAAGTACACATTATGTGCAACAAAGTAAAAATATCTATTTATGGTTTTTTTTTTGTAAAATTACTTTTCTGCCCTCACTTAAAATTTACTAAGTATACTTAAGACAATTAAATAGATTTCATTAAATTAACAGCACAACTTATTACACATAATGATTCCCACCAAAAATTAAATCATTCCCAAATCCCAACTATATTGAATTGCAGATTCTATTGCATTTTAGTTAATGCTTTTGAAGCATCTATAAAATGACATCACATAAGTGTATGTGTAAGAATTCCCGACTAACCATGTTTAAGAAATGTTTACTTCCTCAGGGCTCCGACATAAAGGCTTCCATACGACATACAAGCATGAAAGGTGCTGTTATAGTGTTATGGGTACTGCCAACAGAAGATTGTACACAAATCAAAGATTACATTTCTTCAGGTGATTCAGCTTGTTTACAAAGTAGATTCCTTTCTGAGGTTTTCTACAACCTCTTCTGATAAGAGCTATGAGCGTATGACGATTGTGAGTTCTTAAATTCTGATTCGTGTCAAGGCTTCTAACAGTTTTAGATTAATTTTCCGTTGATAAAAATATCCAATAATAGTAGAGTTATTGGCTGTCATTATGTGCATAGAATATACTCATATAGGATGTACAGGCTATAAAGAAATTTCAAGATCTATAGAACTTACACTTCTGTTTTATTCCCCTTATTTGCACCTATTTGCTTAAAGTCTAAGAAGTGAAGTATGGGGGATTTTAAAAATCCGCATGTGATTACAAAGGAGAGAGAGTGGGGTTCCAATATACTTTCCCTGTTCTTTTTAAATGTCTAATTATCAATAATGAAAAAATATAAAAAAAAAAGTTTTATTATAGCTATAAATTATAAAAGCTACTAGTAGTTAAAGTACAGTATGTAAATAGTGTTAAAAGTCAAAGCGTGTCAACTAAAAAAGACCGGAGAAAAATATTAAACGTTTATAAAACTTCAAAATAACTGTCTATAATTAAATAAAAAAGTTTGGTGTGCCAAAGCATTCCAAAAGTGTGAAAAGGTATCAAATTGAAAATGACGCAATTATCATGCAATGGCCAAAAGAGGCAGTATGAAGCAACACATTGACATTCACTATAGTATATACTATCTCCGTTAATTATTATATGCAACAAAGGCTTATTTTATATCTCACAAATAATACTCCTTTGTTGCACATAATAATTAACGGAGGTAGTACAGAAGTTGAACACATGCAAGAGTTAGTGTACATACAGCACTTAACAAAATTGAAACTCTCATTTGAAGAGTAAATTGTGAGAGACAAATTCTTGAAGTTACTCTTCTGTAGTATAGCTGTATATTATTCGCCTTAGCTGCTTTATGTAAGGTCGTTATAGGGATTGACAATCGTCAGCTATCTGCAAGTCATTAATAAAACAATATATTTGCATGTCATTAATAAAACAATATATTTTAGCACGCCTAAAAGTGAAAACCTCAGCATACACACCTGAATAGATTTACAAATTATAAATTAATTTTCACAAAGATAATCCTGTTTGCGTACATCAACTCTGCAACAGCAGCCGCAAAGGCTTTTTTTCTTAAATTAACTTTGGTTCTTATAATAAATTATTATAAAGGCTGTTGACTACTTATACTTCAGCTTTGAGAGGCTCATAACTGATGATGGTGTAACTATTCTTAATAAATTATTAAGACTTATGATTGCTTATTCTTCAGCTTAGAGAGGCTCATGACTGGTGATAGTGTAATTATTATTGCAGAAACTGCCTCTTTTCTCAACTCGTCTTTGGTACTCCAAGCTGGTTGAGTTCTTTCACCAGCTCATCTAGGCCAACTGCTGAACTTCTGCCATCTTTAACTGCCTCTAATGCCTTCTCCCTCATTGCCCTAGCCCTTGCCTTCTGTGGTATATCTTGACCAATTGACTCACATATGATTTGAGCCAATGAATTAGAGTCAGGCACCGTGTGTTCACCTTCACATAGTCGAATTGCCAACCCTGCATACTCAACTAACTGCTTGGCATTTTGGAACTGGTCTGCTTCCATTGGCCAAGCTAAAATCATCACTCCTGCTATAACACTCTCTAACAATGAATTCCACCCACAGTGACTCATGAACCCGCCTACTGCTTTATGGCTCAGTATTTCTGGTTGTGGAGCCCAACCTCTTAGCACCATACCCTGATCAGAAACCCGCTCCTCAAACCCATCTGGTACCTGTTGACTTGAGTCAGACTTGACCACCCATATGAACCGGGTCTTGCTTTGCTCCAAACCTAAAGCCAGAGCTCTGATTTGAGGCTCTGTCAGCAGCTTTTGACTTCCAAAACAGACATACAGCACACTACTATCAGGGCATGTATCAAGCCAGTTGAGCACATCATATCTGGTATCTAAACCTGGGTTAACCCTCTTGGATAAGCCTTTTAAGCTTAATGGGCCAACGGTGTAGACACGGCCATGACCCAGGTCCTTCTTCAAGTGATCCAAATAGTCCCCTTCCAAGGCGTAAAAAGAATTGAATACATATCCCCAACTCTTGGGGTTTGCACGCAGGCCTTCCTTAACAATCTCCCAGTCAGGATCACCCTCCTTGAACTTCCTAAATATAGAAGGTAACTGGTCAAGAGTGAAGGAAGGCGACGAGGGCAGATCTGGAAATTCAAAAATGCTTGAAATATTCTGTTTGTCCGAATGCTCCCATAGATGGGTAAGTATACAGGTCAAAAGTGCAGATACTGAATAGAATGCAATTCTTGGTATGTTGAGCTGTGTTGCCCAATGTTGGGTGCACCCAAGGAAGAAATCAGAGATTATAGCTTGAGGGGGCGAAGTGTGGGACCGGAACCACTGGATAACTTCCTCTTCTAGCTTGCTAAGTGCAGCAGTGATGGGCGCATTACCGGAATTTCCAATATCCTTTAGATTCTCTACCCCTAGAGGTACTTTAGGGTGAGGAGGTAAAGGTAAGACTAAGGTTTCTATGGAAGTTGAGTGGGCTGAAAGCAGTGGGGTTAAGGCAGGGAGGTTTTTTGGGGTGATCAAGACTGTAATTTTAAGCCCTCTGAGAGCTAATTGATGGGTCAGGTCTAGCAGGGCAGGCATGTGGCCTTGAGCTGGGTATGGAATGACTAAAATATGGGTCACGGCAGCGGCAGTAGCAGTGCCGGCCATGTTTTTTGCAGCGTTGTATATGACTATATGAGTAGAGGTCGATTAAGAAAATTCAACTACAGGAGTACAGGTTTATTGGGGAAGTTTTTGGATGACATGATGTACATGGACCCCTCCATGTTGATTTTTGAAACACCACTCTTCACATAATTCATTTTCTTGGCCTTATTGTTACTCTTAAATCTAAAAAGCAAATGACAGTAGTCCAATACTAGGAGCTGGAACCTTGTTGCCTTGGTGTACTGGTTCAACCATGGTGGCGCTTGTGGACATGTTGAGGGCTCGAGGCTTACCAATCCTTGTTCTGTTTCCTGCAGCGGGTGGTGGGGCGGGGACGGGGATAATAACCATATCCGCCATGGGTGATGGGGTGGGGTGGATTTTAGGTCGTACCCGCCCCATCCCTACTCTATCCCACCCGTCCCGCTCGTATCCACCCCATACCCATCTATATATTTTTAAAAAATAAAATTTTATAATTTTATACTATTTTATATAAAAAAAAAATATGTAAAATAAAGTAGTAAATATATTACAATGTAATATGTTTACATTTAGAAAAAAAAATTAAAAGGTGTAATATCAACAATGAATTTTTTTTTATTTTTTATTGTAATCTATATATGTAGTGTTGTCATATTTGGGAGGCGGGGATTAAGCGAGTCTTGGGTGAGAATTATGTGGGGGTGGATATCCAAGCAGGGGTGGGGCGGGGATGATTTTGGATTTGTACCCGCTGGGGCGAGGATGGGGATGAGTTTTGGACCCGCCGCGAGGATGGGGATGTGAATGAGGATGAGAATGTTAGGCGGATGGGGATGGAAAAGCCAACAACCGTCCCGCCTCGCCCCGCCCCATTGACATCTCTAATTTTGACACATTTTGAATTTTACATTATTCATATATACTGATTTTGATTATAGTTTTTGGACTGGCGATTTTTGAGTTCGGTCCAAGCAAAATTAGTTTGATTTTAGGGTCTTGAATTTTAAAATTTCAGTGGTCTTGGACCAGTGAATAAAATTTGATTTGTAAAGGACGTAGTAGGTGTCGGAGACGGGGTTGCTGTGGTGGTGCAGTGGCAAGAACGATTAACAAAGGGAAAAATTTGGTGTGTATCAATGGAAAGAGAGAGATGAGGATGAAGAGGATAGTTAGTTATTTAACGGGATTTTTAACTAAAAGCTTTCATTAATGCTGTTTATGTAAAAGATAATGATAATTAGAAAAAAAAAATCCATTAATAATTAGAAGTAAAATTACAACACTATCAATGAGAATTTCCCTAAATTAAATGCGAGTATACACTTATATTTGATGTAAAATAAATTATTGGACATGATAGGTTTTTTTTTTAGGTAAGAAGAAGGGGGTTCATTTGAGGTTTGGACTTGATAGGGTGCCATAATATAATGATATGGTATTGAGTTCGTATGACATACATTGTTCTTCCTTCAATAAATAGGTGAAGAGACTGATGATCAATGATTGGCAAATACATAGTATTTTTATTTAGGTAAGTAAAATTGTTTTACCGATTTGGGATGGAGATACAAAGAAACTTCGCACACACATCACAAATTCTTGAAAAAAAAAATGATATTCGTGGATTTCAAGTTCTTGATGCAATATTTTGGCTCAACTCTTTTACCAACTCATTCACATTAGATGACGAGCTGCCACCAAGTTTCACTGCCTCTAATGCCTTCTGTCTCATCACCTTAGCATTCTCCTTCTGCGGTATATTCTCGTTGATCGACACGCTAATGATCCGAGCCAATTCATCCGAGTCGGGCACCGTGTGTTCTCCTCCACAGAGATGAACAGCCAACCCTGCATACTCTACAAACTGCTTGGCATTGTGGAACTGATCAGCTGACATTGGCCAAGCTAAAACCAATACTCCAGCTATTATACTCTCTAGTAATGAGTTCCATCCACAATGACTCAAGAACCCACCCACTGCTTTGTGGTTTAGTATCTCAACCTGTGGTGCCCACCCTTTAATCACTAAACCTTGGTTCGAGACTCGCTCCTCAAACCCTTTTGAGAGCACTTGGCTACCTTCTGCCTTGATCACCCACACAAAGCGTGTCTTGCTTCGTTCTAACCCTAACGAAAGAGCCTCAATTTGGGGTTCTGATAGTAATTTTTGACTCCCAAAGCAGACATACAAAACACTCTCTTCCGGGCATCTATCAAGCCACTTGAGCACACCACAACCAGCATCAGAATCCGGGTTAACCCTCTTAGGTCCACAAATTGACCTTAATGGCCCAACACTGAACACCCGGTCATGACCCAAATCTTTTTTTACTTGATCTATATACTCCCCTTCTAAGGAATAGAAAGAATTGAAAACGTAACACCAACTTTTAGGATTTGTAAGAAAACATTCTTTGACAATCCTCCAATCAGAGTCATCCTCCCTATATTTTCTGTATAAACCAGGTTGTTGCTCCTTATGTAAGGAAGGGGATCGAGGAATGTCTTGCATTTGTACAATGTCTAAAGTACGAAACTTGGCCATGTTTGTCATTAAACGTTGAAAAAAACAAGTAAAGAATGCTCCTGAGGTGACGAAAGCAATTGTCGGTATGTTGAGTTTTTCTGCCCAATGTTGGGTGTACCCTAAGAAAATGTCGTAGATAATTGCTCGAGGAGGAGAAGGGTGGGATTGAAACCATTGTATAACTTCTCCTTCTAGTTTGCTAAGGGATGCAATGATGAGAGGTACTCCGGAATTTCCTATATCTTTAACATTTTCGATACCTAAAGGGAGTTTGGGGTGAAGAGGGAAGGGTAAGACTAATGTATGAATAGAATTTGGGTGAGTTGAGCGAAGTGGGATTATGATAGGTAGGTTTTTAGGAGTGACTAAAATGGTGATAATTAGCCCTTTGAGTGCTAGTTGGTGAATGAAGTCTAGGAAAGGAAGTATGTGGCCTTGTGCCGGGAATGGAAAGGCTAGTACCTGAATGTTGTTCATGGCGGGGGTGGTGGTGGTGGTGGCAACGATGGTGATAGAACAATGTATACTACAAGAGGGGGGGTGAATTATAGTGTATGTAGACTATGGTAAATTTTGCGGAATTAAATCTACTACTAAGAGAAAAGACACTGAGATAGGAAATGAATAAATTCACTATGTAAAAATGATTTACAATCACTAATACGTTGCCTAGACTCAAGTTCCGTGAGGAACTCAAGTTACCCAACTGTGATCCCTCAATCACAGTTTCTCACACTTTGTGATTCTACTCCGAATCACTTGTACAGTGTAAACAACTCTCTCAAGTCTCACACTTTACAACTCTCACAACCCAAACCCAATTACACAATGATTACAAGTATTTCCTAAAAAACTTAAGAGACTAAGGATGGAAGGAACTTCTCTTTTAAACACTTTGAAACTCTATGCTCAGAATACTTAAGATTGTTTTTCCACGCTTTCAAAACTTAACGTTGATCTGTTTTTATAAGGAGTTAAACCAAGCTTCCATCAAGTTCCCACTTCCCCCTTAATCCCACGTTCTCTTTGACTGAGAAGTTGGGATGTAGGCAGAGGAAATTTAGGTACACGATTTCCTTAGCTTGACTCCCAAGTTCAACGTTCTCCTTAATACTAGGAGCCAGTATTTACCAAGTCAAAAAAATCAGTTATTCAAAAAGATAATTATTTAATAAAAAAGATAATTATTTATTTATTAATTAAAAGATAAATAATTAATTAATTTAAAACTTATCTTTTTAAATTAATGAATTATTTATTTATTTATAAAATCTTTTTAAATCTTTTTCAAAGCTGATTTTTATCACTTCCTTAAATTAAGGGATATGAAAACTGTTTTAAAACTTTCGTTTAAAACTTTCTGAGTCAATCGTCAAGTTCCTTCGGGAACTTCAGGTTCCTTCAGGAACTTCGAGTTTCTTCTTAATTCCTTCCATTCCTTCCAACACTTTTGTTTCTTAAGCTCGTACACTGAGTAACTAAGTATATAGAGTTGTGAGGACATCTTGAAAGCTTGCATTCATCATCAAGTCTTCCAAACTCTGTTGTTCCTACTCCGGAACATATATTTGTGTACCTGAATCTTTCTGTTCAACCAAGACTCATAAACATCATTAGTCAGAGTTTGTTTTACGTAAGTCAATCATCAAAATATTAAGGTAGTCAATTCAACAATATTCCCCCTTTTTGATGATGACAAACAAAAACAAACTCGGTTAAACAAAACAAACATCCAAGCAATCAGAGTAACCAATACTTAAATAAAACAATTAAATTATTTAAAGCAATAAAATAAACTAAGGATAAAGAAGTCTGCATCATTCATGAAATTAATAAATTGTGAAATTTATACCTTTACTTAAATGATGAAGACTTGAAGGGAATCGGTTTGAGTCCAGCTTTCTGAGTTTGTTCTTCTCTTCCCCCTTTTGACATTATCAAAATGATAGAAAGAGCATGCTATATATAGTACTAAACTACGGAGGGAGTAGTAAATCTGAATTCATGAACGATTAAGCATGCGCACACAGTTCATATGCAACCAAAATGAGAATGTCAATTCCAAAGAGAAAACTGAGCCAGTTCCATTAGTACAAGCCGAAAGAAAAAAAAATTGTGCTAGATAAAACAGAAAATAAAAATTAAAACAAAACATCACTGTTCAATATAAATTGCAAAAGAGGCTAAGTGATGTAAGGTTAGGCTGAGGGTGTTGTGGAGGTTGTTTAGGTTTGGGCGAGGGTAGATATTCACGAAATGCAGTAAAGCCAAATGGAGAGAAACTAAGTAGGTCAGGATAAGGAACTTGGGGATGTTTCTTTTGAAAAAGGAACATGGTGGTTAGGAATTTCATTGGGATTTTTGTCCTCTGAGTCAGATTGATGAATTAAGTGTATGTGAATTTCATCCCTTCTTCGCCATCATATCCTTTGTCTCCTTCTGTTCCTCAATCTCCTTAAACTTTTTCCCTCATTACTTCCTCTGTATTTCGCTTTTTTTTTTTTTTTTTTTTTTTTGATACACCATCAACTTCCTCTTCTAACTCATCTTCTCCCTCACAAAGATCAGCCCCACTTTTGGCCTCATCTTCTTCAACAATATTTGATTCCCCCTCAGTTTGTTCCCTCGGGTTTTTAACAAAAAATGTTACACCATTTTCTACTTTATGACTCAAGGTGGATGATCATTAATGCAGGGAAATTAATTTGCATTGTATTGGCTAAGAAGAAGATAATTGAAGGTGGGTTTTGATTGGGTTGTTACGGTGGGGTTTTTATGGAGGTTTGGTGGTAATTTGAAGAGGTGAAGGTGGATGGTTTTGGTGAACTGATGGTTTTAGGTGACTTGAATTTAGGTGGAGTGAATGTGGGTTGAGTGTATGGGAAGAGAGGGAATTATGGAGTAGTGGTATTGATGTGATGTGACGGTTTAGGTTTATGGAGAAGTGGGTTTGGGTAAATTGTGGGTGATAATTTATTTTGCAATCATATCAAACAATAACTTAACAAAAATAAAAAATTAAACAAGGATAAAAAAAAATTTAAAGGATTAAAAAAGATAATGAAGATGAAAATAAGATAAAGAAAAAATAAGATAAGAACAAATATTTTTGTATTTTTGAATAGGAAGAATAATAATAAAAAAATAGAAAAAGATAACAATAAGAAAATTACAAAAATAAAAAGATAAATAAAAATGGAAAATAACAAAAGAAAATTTCCAGTAAATTACGTGAGGTGATCTACTAGTTGACATGTACAGAGGTTTGTAACTTTAGCAAAAGGAACTTGGAAACAACATGGCTCAATTTGTCTTCTTCATTGACATAATCATATGATCACACACAAAATAGAATTGCACACTCTTTCATTTCAAGATTCAAGATTATGTTTTTCACACCAAGGTTATATATAGCAATGCTCAGTCGTTTCACTAAGACATACCTTGGGGTTCTAAGAAGAACTGCTCAATTCAGCTTTATCATTCCGAGTTCCAATCGCATCTTTTCGAATTTTTCTCTACTCAAAGGCTTTGTTAGAATGTCAGCAATTTGATATTCAGTTTGTACAAATTCTAGTTTAATAGAACCTTTTTCCACATTGTCTTTTAGAAAATGATGCCTAACATGAATATGCTTTACACGTGAATGATGTACTGGATCTTTTGATATGCAAATAGCACTTGTATTATCACAGTATATTGGAACACATTCAAGAACTATGCCAAAATCACGTAATTGTTGTTTTATCCACAACAGTTGTGAGCAACATGCAGCAGCTGCTAAGTATTCTGCTTCTGCTGTGGATAGAGCAACTGTATTTTGTTTCTTGGAACTCCAAGAAACTAAACAAGATCCTAGGAATTGGACCATACCTGATGTACTTTTTCTATTCACCAAATCCCCAGCATAGTCGGCATCGGCAAATCCAGTAAGATCATATGTGTCACTTCTTGGGTAGAATAAACTCAAGTCGTCAGTTCCTTTGAGATATCTCAGTATTCTCTTGACGGCTGTTAGATGCGATTCTTTGGAGTTTGATTGGAACCTAGCACACAGACCAACACTAAAAGAAATGTCAGGTCTACTTGCAGTTAAGTATAGTAAGGAACCAATCATACCTCTGTACTTTGTCTGGTCCACACAAGTTCCTGAGGGATCTTCGTCTAACCTAGAGTTAGTTCCCATAGGAGTGTGGTTAGTCTTTGCGCTGTCAAGGTTATACTTTTTCAGGAGTTCCTTGACATATTTTTGCTGATGTATAAATATTCCTGATTCTGTTTGTTTGATTTGCAGTCCTAAAAAGAAATTGAGTTCCCCCATCATGCTCATTTGGAACTCACTGCACATCAAGTCAGCAAAGTACTTGCACAAAGATTCGTTAGTTGCACCAAATATAATATCATCAACATAGATCTGCACAACTAAGAGATTAGTTTCTTTAGATTTTAAAAACAAAGTTTTATCAATTTTTCCTCGTTTAAAATCATTTTCCAAAAGGAACTTGGACAGTCTTTCGTACCATGCTCTTGGAGCCTGTTTTAGCCCGTAGAGAGCCTTATCAAGTTTAAAAACATGGTTTGGAAAGTTTGGATTCTCGAATCCAGGGGGTTGACCGACGTAAACTATTTCTTTTAATAAACCATTCAAAAACGCACACTTTACGTCCATCTGATACAGTTTAAAACCCATAAAAGCAGCAAAAGATATTAAAATTCTAATAGCCTCAAGTCTAGCAGCAGGAGCAAATGTTTCCTCAAAATCAATACCTTCCTGTTGGTTATATCCCTTTACAACCAACCTAGCCTTATTTCTTACAATTGTACCATATTCATCAAGTTTGTTTCGAAAGACCCATTTTAAACCTATGACCTTTTTATCTAGTGGCTTAGGTTCAAGATGTCATACCTGATTTCTTTTGAATTCATTAAGTTCCTCTTGCATGGCTATAATCCTGTCAGGGTCTTCTAAGGCTTCTTTATGGTTGCGAGGTTCCAAAGTAGATAGAAAAGCATTGAAG